CTTCAATGAGGCATTAAAGGCAACATTACTCTCTGGAGTAATCTCCCCATGGATGGCATATGGTCCATAAGTGACCATGATGCCATTGGTCTTGAGGATCTTGCCAGCTGCAGCAAACAAGCCTTCAGTACACTGCCAGGGGGTGATGTGCACCATGTTGATGTTCACTATTAAATCAAGGCACTTCTCTGCAAACACTTGAGGCCACTCACTGACAGGCTGCAACAATACACACTATTACCACAAACACTTGAGGCCACTCACTAACAGGTTGCAACAATACTGTACACACTATTACCACAAACACTTGAGGCCACTCACTAACAGGTTGCAACAATACTGTACACACTATTACCACAAACACTTGAGGCCACTCACTAACAGGTTGCAACAATACTGTACACACTATTACCACAAACACTTGAGGCCACTCACTAACAGGTTGCAACAATACACACCACTACCACAAACACTTGAGGCCACTCACTGACAGGCTGCAACAATACACACCACTACCACAAACACTTGAGGCCACTCACTAACAGGTTGCAACAATACACACCACTACCACAAACACTTGAGGCCACTCACTGACAGGCTGCAACAATACACACTATTACCACAAACAGTCACACAAAAAGAATTTTGTTCATGGTCTTCAATCATTAAATATACAACACAGGGCTTCATCTACATATTATAATTTATTTTTTGATGAACATATATAACATAATTGTGATTACTACAGTATTATGATTGTGATTGCTGTTTATTGATGTTGTTTCTTTCTCTTTTGTTGTATAAACTACTAGATATTTAGTGTTGAATAAAACCTAAAGAAAGGCCAGCTCGTTTGTTTTCATTCTACGTCAATGTGCTTCCAAAACATATGTACAGTACAGTAATATCTCTGTTAGCCGGAATCCCTCAAACCCAGAACTCTCTGATAGCCGGAATTGAAATTTTCTCGGAAAATCGTTCCCAAACCTGGAATTTTCCGGAAAATTCCGGCTCTGGGGATGATTTTTCCGGAAAATTCCGAGAAAATTTTCCCAATACCCAGAAAATTCCGTGGATGGGGAGTTTTATTCTGGTTTTGAGAGATGAAAATCAAGCACATTTTCTGAAAATTCAAGAATGAGGGATATTTTTCCGGGTTCAAGAGATGATGTAATGGGCAATTTCTGGAATTTCTGAGAACATTTTTCCGTTACCCAGAAAATTCAGGACAATTCCGGGGATGAGGAATTTTTTCCAGCTTTGAGAGTCGTCTCGTTACCCGGAAATCTCTCATTCCTGGAAGGACTCTGCACCAATTGTTCCGGCTTATGGGGATATCACTGTACTTTATAAATGACAATGTACAGTACAGTACATCTATTAAGAACATATACAATACTTTATATATGATGATTTACATCCATTAGGAACATGAACTGGACAAGTAAACCCAGTTTAACAAACATCTGATAAACAAATGTTTACTATATCGAGGGGTTTTACTTTATAAAACTCCATGATATACAAGTGGGATTGTTTGCTCTAATGATGGTTTCCAAAATAATGTACAACAGAAGCAGCTCCCACAACACAAGTTGTCTCTCACTCACTCCCATCACCACAACACACACAGCAGTAATTTTTGTTTACCACATAAAGGAGGTTCTTAATGGAGTTTATATGGAACTTACAACTGAAGACATTCAAGAATTAACTAGAGAGATAGCAGCAGAGTCAGAAGATGAAACTGAAGAGGTTATGAGAAATTTTAGTGTGAAAGTTTTGAAGGATTTCTTCACGGTAATTAAACAATATGATTCAGAAATGGAAAATAGCATCATGCTTGTTCATGGCATTGAACAAAACATCCACTGTTGTTAAGGGGAGTTATATGAAGAGAAGCAGCAAATTAAAGAGATTCTTCTCTCATAAGAACATAAAAATAGAGTAAACTGCAGTGGGCCTATTGTTCCATATTGGCAGTTCCTTTTACACCCAACTCCTATCACTCATATTTCCGTCCAACCTATATTTGAAGCTACTCAGCATGTTCGGGTTAATGATGATGTTTGGTAACTTGTTCCACTCATCCACTACTATACTTCCAAACCAATGTTTACCTATCTCACGTCTAAATCTAAATTTGTCTAATTTAAAACCATTGCTACGAGTTTGTTTAGCCCCGACTTCCATTTATACGCTTGATCATATCGCCCCTCACTCTACGTTTCTCGAGGGAGTGCAAACGCCCAGGATTAATCTTTTCATCCTTCTCTGTATACTAGTCCTGTAACTACCCTAACACTCTTCTGTATGAAACCAGGTACTTTGTTAGCCTTGTTGCGAAAAAATATGCATTGTTGTCTTAATTTAAGATTCCTACTTATCATTATTCCTAAATCTTTCTTTTAGTCAAATTTCTCTAAAACAAAGTTGTTCATCTGATAACTGGTTTCACATCACCTAGACAAAGTACTTTACAATTTTCCACATTAAATTCCATCTGTCATTTCTCAGACCATGCATAAAATTTATTTAGATCTTCCTGTAGTTTTTTGGAGTCCTCGTCAGATTTCAGTAATGTAAGCAAATTTACTTATGTTGCTGTCAATGCCTATATCTATGTTGTTTATGTATAATATAGAAAGTAATGGCTACTCCACTAGTGACGCAGCTCCAATCGGATTCAGTGTCGTTAATGTTTACTCGCGGTCTCCTGTTGTAACCACACCCTAGTCCATTTTAGAATATCTCTTCCAATTGTATGAGCCTCCTCCAGTTTTCATATTAGTCTTTCGTGGTGGACTCTGTCGAAGGCTTTTGCTAAAGTTGAGGTATACCACATCATAATTGTGTCCATCATCCACTGATATGAAAACAGTTGAAAAGAATGCTAATAGAGTTGTCAGACATGAACACCCACTTGTGAGGCCATGTTGGGAATCATTGATTAACTATTGCTTCTCCAGGTGATTTCGAATAGTGTGAAATTATTGCTTCCAGTAATTTGCCTACAATTGATTGGACGGTAGTTAGAGGAAAGTGGTCTATCTCCCTTCTTGAAAATCGGTATCACATTCACTATTCTCCAGGACTCTGACACTACACCTATTTTTAATGACAAACAAATTTGCTAAGGACATACTAAGCTCTTCCTTACGTTCCTTTAATTCTCTGGCAAATATCTCATCAGGACCTGGTGATTTATTTGGCTTTAGTTTACCTATTTGTTTTCTACATCGTTACTAGTCACTATTATCTCTGCATATAGTCGGTGCCTCAGGTATCATGTTTAAATTCTCAGTTGTGAAAACTGTTGAAAAATATCTGTTTAGATTATTGGTTGTTTCTCTTTCATTATTAGTATGATCGCCGGTATCTGATTGTATTGGTCCTATCTTGTCTCGAGTTTTAGTTTCATACATTTGATAAAATCCCTTGGGGATTGCTACCTTCAGTTCATTATTCCTCTTTGCTTTTTTTATCTCAGTCTTAACCTACTGACCAATACCTTATAATAATCATGGAGGTAATCGTCACCACAATTGATTCTCCTACCCCATAGCCTTTCTTTGTCCAATAATATTCCTTAAATAATTATTGATCCATTTGGGGTCATTGTTTTTATTACCTGAGTCTTCTGTATGGTATATTTTGCATTTGTGCATTAAGTACTGTACATTAAGTCCTCGCTTAACGTCAAGGTTACGTTCCTGAAAATGCGACGTTATACGAAACGTTCAGCGAATCAATTTTCCCCATAAGAAATAGATAAAATACAGGATTTATGTTCCTGAGCCTCCCTTTGCCCCATTAAATACATTACATATACATAAATTCAGAGCGCCTTGTGTGATGCCTGGTGTGGTGCTTGTATGCCTTACTATAAAGTCACATTCATCGAGATTTATAAGAGAAAAACATAAAACTCCTCTACAAGATTGAAGGTTGTTTAGGCTTAAACTTTTTATCATATAAAATGGCACAGGCTAAAGTTAACAGAAAATAAATTGCATTGCTGGAATCCTTGCAAGACCGCAAATAATATGAATATAGACATCATATATTTTGCACAAGAGATAAAATTTTTAGTCCCTTAAGTACATTTAAGTCCAGTAAGTTCTGCTATAACGCGTTTTGATAACGCGAATTTGCTCTAACGCGATTTATGAATTAGGAACGATATTTGTATAACGCGAACGCTTGTTTGCTATAACGCGATTTTTGCTTACTATTTCTCCAATTTTGTGGTACAGTGGGGTATGCTATAACGAATCTAATTGGTTCTAGAACCTTGTTCGTTATAGCATTCGTTCGTTATAGGATTAATCCATTCCAGGCCCCCAAATACAACCACTTAACACTGAAAAATATAATATAAAATTGTAAAAATTGTAAAAAAGCGCATAAATATGCATCTAAACCCCTGAAATAAAGAATATCATTAATATTTGTAATAAAAAAACAATAAATTAGAAAAAAAAAAAAAATAAATAAATAATGTTCATTGGAGGAGTTTCGTTCGTTATAGCATTCTCAATTTTATAGGTAAAACAGCTCGTTATAGGAATATTCGTAGTAGGATCCATTCGTTATAGCATACCCCACTGTGTTAACTGTGAATATAGTAAAGAAGAATATCAACAAGAAGCGTTCTGGTGATAGAATTCCCGGTGATGATCGTAAAAGAAAGGATATAACACATGAAGAGAAGATCGATTTTATCAACCTCAAAATCACCCTTCTCCCCCATCAAGTAAAGTGTTACATTTACTGTATGATTTCATTATTAGATATGAATGTAACATATATTTAGACTGTGCTATTCGTTGTGTTAGGCTAACTACTAAATTTTTTCGATTTCGAGTAATCTGCACCTAACCCTATTTTCTCCATAAGCCCTGTTATTTCTATTACGCGATTTTCTATAACACGATATTTTACAAGAACACAATTATCGCGTTATAGCAGAACTACGTGTACTGTACAGTCAACCCTCACTTTACGCGGTCCCACATTCCGCGTTTCCACGTTAACGCGGTGCCCTGCCAGAACCTAACGTGCTCACATTACGCGGTGCGTGAACCCCATTACGCGGAGAGTGTCCGGCGCGATGCTATTTTTAAATTCGCCCCACCCGCCTGCCTGCCTGTGCTCTCGCCTCTCCCTCCTCCTCCCTCCGCTTGGGCAAGCCGCGCGGTAAGGTTGCGCAGTGTGTG